TTTTTTTTCTCCAGAAGATATATATATATATATATATATATATATATATATATTAACGCTTTTATGCCAATAGAACCCTACATACCTTTCACTATCTAACTTTGTCAGTGTTCTAACATCGTATGCCAAATTCACCTTTTCCACTGAGCAATCTTGATATGCCTCTCTATTAAAATAACATATTAGTATCATTTTACGCACTGAAACTACTATGTTACTCATATTTCATACGATAATTGATTATAAAAAAAATCTGGCAGCCCATTTCAGAAAGAAAAAAAAAGATTTTAAAGTATTCTCATAGTACTGCAAAAAAGAAAGAAAAGTAGAAAAAAAAAGTATTCGTGTCATTAATATTATATTGGATTTCTACCTGAAAAAATATTGAATTTTACTTTTAAACTTAAAAAAATACAGTCCAGTTAGATTATTTCTACTATAACAATTTGAGATAATAACTCATCGTGCAATGCAGAAAATTTAAACTTTTATTTGTTCAGTGGTTTAAGTTAACATTTATAATTTAACTTATGAAAGATAAATTTAAAAATAACAAATTAAATTTTTTAAGAAATCTTGATATGCTGTTGCCATTCCATAAAAATAAGATTTCACACCTAGACATAAATACCTTAGAGTAACATTAATATTATAAAGTTAATATTTATGATTTAATTCACAAAATATGTTTAGAGTTAACTGGGTTAACTACATCTTCATGAGAGTATAATGTGTACAATGCGCAATAAAAAAATGGACCATCCTGAATAACTTTTGATCTAAGACTCAATCTTAAGAGTTTGAAAGGGCGATTTCAAATATGCTAATCCTTAAGTGTATTTTAGGTTATAAAAATAGGCACAAAAACGTACTTTCGCTGAATAAACATAGCTTTTTTTATGAATTCGAACTTCTGACTCCCAAAATGAAGGAGGTAGCTGTAATCTGAGAAATAGAGTTCCAATAGTTTGGTCAATAGAGTGGTTCAAAGTTTAGACCCCTTAATGCTAATTTTACTTTTCACTACTTTTGCCATACCTCGCAAACTTTTTCAGCAAATTTATTAATGTTTGCACACAATTATAAAATCCATTCAGCCAAAAGTAATTCGAAGCAAAAAATAACTTTTAGTAAATATTTGTCATTTTTTATTATTTTATTTAATTCCTAGATTTTGGCTAACCCCTATATTTTGGGGATTAAAAATTCAAATTCATTGAAAAAAAAGGTATACTTATTCAGAGAAAGTACGCTTTTGTAACTTAAAATATCATCTGCAGTTATTAATTAGCCTATTTGAGGCTATCCTCTCAAACCATTAAGATTGAGTTCTAGAATCTGAAGATCCGATTGTTATATCAAAAGTTGTTCAGGGTGGGTTTTCTTTGTTTTTTTTTACGCACTGTACTTATATATTTGTAAAATATATTTTTAATTGTAATATGATTTAAGATGATTTTTAATTGTAATATATGTGTTGTTATAACTATGTAAATAATAAAATTAGTATATCTTAAGCAAGCCCTTTTAGAATGACAAAGCGATTGCAATTTAGAAAAAAATTTGATAGTTGAAGAAAAATTTATTTACAATGATCATCTGTGATTTCTGTTAAAATAAAACAGGGAATGCAAACGAATATAAAAAGGTTATGTATTCACAGATTTTGAAAAGAATTTCAACTATTGCAATTTTAATGACCAATTATTAAATGGAGAAAGCAGAATATTTAATAATTTAACATTCTTCATTTTAATTTATTTTCATGAAATATATAATATTATGAACACTCACTGAAAATGTTGTAGCAAAATACTTTCTTCACAGAGGTCTTTAGGCACATTAAATATCATTAACGTTCTATTAACCTGTAACACAGGAAATAATATGGATTAGCATATAATGAGGGATTAACTTATAATAAGGGATTAGCATCAGCAAATAAGAGCTAATCTAAACAAGGGAAGTTTCAGAATAATTTAATTTCTAAAAAAAGTTATATAAAAGCAAGATCCATAAATTTTTTTATCATAAAATAAGATATTTAATTTATGATTAGCCAGAAAAGGGTACTATTATATTCAAAATCAATGGAAATAACTCTGGCATAAAACAAATTTCTAATAATTCATGTTTTTTTAATTAATTCAATACTTCTAATAAATTGCTTATGAACTTAACATATGTCACTTATTAGACACCAGAGAAAATACAATTAATACATACATCAGAGAAAATACAATTTTGTAAGGATTTATCAAGGTTTTACTTTTAGGGTCCCATTTCTATAAAAAAATATTTCTTGTTTAAATTTTTTAATCAAGAAAATGTTTTAATTTCAGCAGTTACTAAATTTTACATTTATTATAAAATATAAGTCACTCTATGCAGTAATTTGATAAAATACTAAAATTATTAATACTTTTACACAATGAAATTTTTTGACAAGGCAGTTTTTTGAAATTTTATTTTTATAAAGGGGTCATTTTTAAAAGGTTTGAATTACGTGAAGGGACGTCTCATACCAATTTGAATTTTGTGAAAGGGTTATTCTTAATTTACAAATTTGTACTTTTTGGAGGGACTTTTATAAGTTTAAACTTTGTGAAAGGGGCATAAAAAGGCATAAACTTTTGACTGAATTGACTTCTTAGTCAAACTAACAAAACAAAGCTAATAATTATATAATGAATAAAATATAAATTGATAAAAAACAATAACTATTAAAGACTTACAAAACTTTCATTATCATTCAGTTTCAAGTTTGCAGAAAAATGCTTCATAACTGAAATACCCAGTAATAAAAAAAGAAAGGAACATCCTACGTGCACCCACAAGTATGATGAACTATTGAAAAAATGTAAACAATATTTTATTTCACATTTTAAATATGATAAAATATTTAGATATAAAAGTAACTTTAATATACTATTTAATATATTTTTTTAACACAAATTAATTTATAAAAATTAAACTCATTTTAAATTTCAAATCATTTTTGAGAACAGAAAAAAGAAATAAGAGATAAGGAAATATTATTAAGACACTACTTACGCAGGATCCAAATTGCTCAAAGTAGTTCTTCCAAATTTGCTCTCTTCATCAACTGTACATTAAAAGAAAAATGAAAATACTTTTGAAAGATAAAAAAAAAACATAAAAACCATTGTAATCAGATTTTAATAAATAAATATAGTCTTTTCATTAATACTTAAATTAATTCTTTTTATAAATACTTGAAATATATTATTTTATACTTAAAAAAAATAAAGTTCTAAATCCATTATAGTGAAGGATGAAAAACCTTTAATTGATTAATTCAGGCCTTGATTGCTGTTTTAGCAAAACATTTCTGTTGACATTTTCACAAAAATGTCAACAGATCAATTCCATGGTGATTGACATGACATCAGTCAACATTTTTTTGCCCAATTTTAACTATTAAACATTAAGATATATCTTTACAAATTTTTCTGGGTTGTAATTTATACACTTCTCAATTAAAAATAATTTAAAACATTAAGGAAAGAAAATATGATGTGATAGACATAGATACCAAGTGTCTTAACAATATGATCAATTGCACTAAAATGGTCCATAATTTAGGTTCAGAAATGCAAAACAAGAATTAATTCAAAGATGCGAAATAATAAAATTAAAAAAATTACAGTAAATAGTTTTTTTAAAAAGTATTTACTGGTGTGAAAGACAATGCAAGGAATTGTGATAGACATGACAGCTAAAGAAATTTAGCTTAACATAACTATTCATACAAAATGCAATCACTCATACAAATACAATTACAAACGTAATATAATACTCTTTCATTGTATTTTCATGAAATTTAAAAAAAAAATCTCCAGTTTACGCTAAAAAAATTCTTTTGCTACAATTTAAAAAATATTAACAAACATCTGCCTGCTTTTCGTGGAATTGACTGACACAGAGCAAGTTTCTAAAATATAAGAAAGAAAAACCAGGTTTTCACATAGTATACTAGTCAGACCCTACTTCAAGTCAAATTTGTGGTCGTCAATTGAATTTAGAAAATGTTTGAGATTGAGACACAATACTTTAATAGTTGACAGTTAAAATAGATATAATAGTTGTTGATGATCAGAGCTTAGAAAAAAAATATCGATCCTGAATAGCCAAAAACAAAAAATAGGTACATATCTTATGTTTGATATAACTTGCATTTGGTCACATTTTTTTTATTATTATTAACTCTTTGTGTCAATTTTATCCATTTTGTTTAGTAAATACCTTCATAATTAAAAATTCATTTTAACAATGCTAATCATTCTTCTGAAGTTTAAACACTTCAGTAATTATAATTCTTTAAATTTATACCAAACAGGCTCTTTATTTCAGAGACAGAAGGCAACTAATGAAATTTTTTTATACACATTACATTATAAATGTCTCAGTACTCTTAGAGACTTTAATTGGTGATTGAAATGCATAAGTTTCGTAATATTGTCTTAACACATAAGTGGGTGACACTCAAAAGTATTTATTTAGCAACAAAAGCTACGTCAAGTACCCTGTGGCAGAAAACTCTCTAGCATTTGTCTCTCGACAAACCTCTCTGACAATAATATCTTTCAGGAAGATACTTTTAATAACCAACTATATGTTATTTATTTAAAATAATAAAAGTGCCGTGTTTACAAAAAAATATATATATTTATTAAATTGAACTTGTAATCTAATATCATAGGTGATATTCTCGCATGTTGTTGGGAAAAGGGGTGCACAAATTATTTCCTTTTTCGCATTTTGTAAATAATCATCACAATAAAAAAAAAATTAAAAATCATAAAAACCGTAGTAGTAATTGCCGAAAAAAAGATTGATGACGAAATCACGCGAATTGGAAACTATGAAGAAACCTATAGCAATAACTGACAAAAATTCGATAGAATTATTGCCTTAAAAAGTAAATTCTCCAATGCAATTCATTTTGTTTAAAATATATTGGGATATTTAAAATCCACATGAAAATCAAAATCAATAACTGCCGAAAATACAATAGAAACAATGCATCGATTTACGATACTATCAGTGTAATTTGTACGTCAAAGAGTGATTACTTAAATGAATGATTCAAATATTACATGTAAATTTCAGAAGAATTTTTTTTTTTACTTTTCAAAAGAGAAATCTTTCTGCAAGAATTCTATAACATTCTGTGAAAATGTCGCCGGGTGGTGACCCCCGTGACATTCTGTCACGGGGATCAAGTACTCCCTTCCACAAAAAAGTTCAAAAGTTAACACTTTGAAAAAATTATTGCAAAGAATCAAATAATTTTAAAGATAGAGATTTACTTTTAATTACTATTCACAAAGCAAAAATAATCTTTGAACATTAAAATCAATATCTTTATTGGGAAACATGAAAATTAATTATTATTATTAAGAAATAAAGAATGAAAAAATATGAATCTGTAAAAAAATAGATTTTACTCACCTAAATCTCCTTGGTAATTGACCGGAAGAACTAAAGTAAGACAAATTACACAGATAATTGCCAGGTAAACAATTATATGCCTTTGAAATGACAAATACTGAAGAGCATCTGGACCATTTCTTTTTAATATCTGATCATCTCTGCAAAAAGATACAAATCCGTTTAACACATTTTCCTATAAAATACTGAAATTTTTCCAAATATTTAGGCAAAAATTTGCTTACTTTATCACAAAAATTGCTCTCAGCCACGAACATATTCCCTATAAAAAATAACATTTTTTTAAAGAAATAAATTACGATGCAAATTCCATATCAAGAATCGTCTAGACTTCAACAAGTCTAGAAAATAGATTTTTTCGAATAATAGGTCTTTAACGTAACAACATCATAACATGTGTTATTCTATTTTAAAACAGAATTTAGCCGATTTTGTTAATAAGAACATTTAAAATTTAAAGAGAAACAAAGCTTATCTGCTGGGGTTTTTTTTCAAACGCTATTAATATTAAGCTTCATTAGAATTTATAGTTTACTCTTCTTGCCCCAGTTTCACCTATTCAACCCTCTGGCAGAATTTGTTTGGGCTTTCTGCGACAAACCTCTCTAGCTCTAATATCTTTCTGCAAGATACTTTTAATAATAACTAATATATATGTTATTAATTAAATTTAAACTAACAGAAACGTTGTATTCACAAAGAAAAGCCTATTTGGGTATAATAAAATTGTATGTATTTTCTTTAAAATTAATATGTAATATTTTTTTATAATTCTTATCATCTCGGGCGATATTGTCACATTTTGTAAGAGGAAAACACACTAATAATTTCGTTTTTTGCATTTTGTAAATGATCATCACATAAAAAAATAATTAAAAATCATAAAATCCGTGAAAGAAAAGAAAACCAAAATAAAAAAAATCACATTAAAATTAATCATTCATGCTAAAATTAATCATATCTTCCCCTTTGGAAGGGGAAAATAATTTCTGCAGAAAAGAAATTTTTTGCTTCAATATTCTTCATTTTTCACAAATAAGAATCGAAAAATTACGTACATTTCTTTCCCTTCCGATGCTCAAAAAAGTCATCTTTTAAATATAATTTTCAAGAAAAAAAATTTCAAAAACTTTTGTAGAGAGAAAATCAAAATTTTTTACTTTCTAAAGAAAAATTCTTTCTGCGAGAACTCTGCAACGTTCTGTGACATTGTTGCCGTGTCGTCGCGATTCTGCCACAAGGCTATTCAACGACACTTTAAGTGTGCTTATTGAAGCAGAATAAATAATCAGGCAAGGGAAAAGCAGGAAGAAAGAAAAAAAATCATTATCTTTCTAACAGATTGTAGCTGTTAAAAAAAATTTGTTTTGAAAAAGACAATGAGATTTATTTTGATTGTAAAAAACACTTTCGAAAAACAGATGTTTCTGGTAAACGGACGTCTGGATATGGGATACTGTGATATCAATTCAAAAATTATTAAAAAAAAAAGCTATAATACAAGAAATGCAAAATATACGGTATATAAATTATTTAAGTTACTTATAAAAAAAAATTAAGAAAATAATTGAATTTTTCCAAAACTTAATACGGTAAAAACTCGTTTTAACAATATTTTGGGGACCAAATATTTTAAATTATACATACAATACTTTTAAATAATTCTATACAGATTTATTTATATATATTTTCTTCAATATATACTTTCTTTCATTTAAGAATCAAACACACTTAAGACTTGAAAATTGAAGAGTTTTTATAAAATTGTCCAACTTCATATATGGCTAAAGTATAAAACCATTAGATTTGCTAATGCAATGCTGTGGTTCTAAATAACTCATGATCAGGTTTTAACATGAATAGAATAAAAACAGGTAGGTATGTTATATCTGTGACTTTCAGTCAATAAGTAAGGCATTATCTGGAAGGAAAACACTTTGTAAAATCTCCACCTATTTGAAGAAATGAGTTGTATTGAAATCTGAACAATAGCCATTCCTTGATTAGTGAAAGGGAGTTAATACAAAATCAAGAGTAAATCTTCTCTTCTCAGAAAAAGTGGAAAAAATTAATAACATAAAAAAATTACATTAGTATACATTTATATACAAATTTATGTTACACACCAAAATTTAAATTGACTTATTTTTAAACAGTAACACATACTTTATCCATATGCAGAGCTATCTCAACAGAATCAATTGAACCTTCTTCATTGTTAAGATGATGCGATGTTGCTGCACCATCACCATAAAATAATTGTGTCCACCTGCATACAATTTCATTAATAAAGTAATAAAATAAATATTTATAAATGCTATAATATTTCAAACTAATAAGGATAACAAAGAATTTTTAAAAAAAGAAGACTATAGTGTATGAAAACTATAATTTTTTATTAAATTGTTTACCATAAAATAATAACACGTGCATAGTGGAGAAAATTCAGCTAAATATTTTTAAGAATCGAACTCTTCACAGAGTCAAATCATCAATCAAGTGTAAAAAAAAAAATCCAATAACAAAAGTTATTTCTTATTACAGTGGAAAGTCGCGTATCCGGAATCGGCGGGACTTTCCGAAGTCCGTATATTTGATTTTTCCGTATAATTGACCTCCAAGGTAAACAAAGCTTAAAATGATCTGAATCTAAGAAGCAGAAAATAAATAAACATTATTTTTCGGGCAATAATGTTTTAGTATTAGAATGATATCTAATCAATCATAAACAAAATATTAGAAAAAAAATAATTATTGCTATTCTAAAAATAAATATAGAAAACGAAAAAAATTCCCAGTTATGAAAATATTAATTGCTCTCTCCACCATTTTGAACTAGAACGATTCAAGCAAGAAGGGGAAATTCC